GAGCTCTAAACAAACTGGAGACTCCCAGCTAATGGAGGGAGTCCTGATTACAGATTTTACATAGCTTATATACATTTTCTTTGCAGGACAGTGACAGTTTAAACAAAGAAACCGGTTAACTTCTTACAAACATCTGTTTCACCAGGTCACGGTGACTTCAACCAAAAATAGGTTTATCCTCCTGCTGTACATTAATTACGACTCATTATCTATCTTAAACTTATCCTAACCCCAACCCCCTTCCCTTTATTCTATCAGAAGAACAACACTACGGGCTTATAGATCTTGTATGTCCTGTCAGTTGCCCAAGCCATGATCCCTTACCAGACGGACCACAGCTGGTCTCTTCCATCTCTGCTAGAGGACCAAGGAAACCACAAATCATACAATTATTTTTATCTTCAAGGATACAATGAAGTCACTAAATAATATAGTTATATTTAAAGCTTAAAGATTACCAAAACAAGCAAGGGGGTTACAAGGAAGCTATAAAGCACATCTTTAAAAAATTGCATAGGCATGTCATTGGGAAGGAAGACATCACTCTCGACAAGAACGCTGAGTACGGTTTCTATCACAGATGCACACATTCTCATACGCCAGCCTGGCATATTGTGTGAATGTATCTGCCCTGTTTAGTGGCATTGCATGAACGGAGACCCACGACACAGACCCCTCAGAAAGGGGGCTGGTTTTGCCGTCAGAAGCCTTCATGATTTTTAGAAAGGGGGAAGGAGAGGAGATGATTTGCCAGGAATCAGCTGCCTTCAAAGTTCAGAACATCAGAAAGGACCGGAGGCTGGATTAGGCCAAGAGCCCACACTGTGACCATCTAGAAGCAGGACCCTCAGCATGGGGTCAGAAAAGTCAACATGGCTTGAGTATTCAAAGTCACAACACCTCTAAAAAAGGGCCAGGGCGCTGATCACCCAGAAGTCCTTGGAGATGGCCTTGAAGAGAAGATTCAGAAGCCATTCCAGAAGCCTATCTCAACAAAGCAGTGTTTCTCAACCTTGGCAGCTTTGAGCTGTGTGGACTTCACCCCCCACAATTCCCCACCCAGCATGGCTG